AACAAACGATTGACTAAAATCCTATATATATATATAAAAGAAAAAAAAGACCCTATATTTATTGTTAAGCGAATAAAGCGTGTATTTTACAGCAAAGCGTCCGATATCCCGTCGCCCGGTCTTTTAATTTTCCTCCACGTACGAGCGAACGAGTTACCGATCATCTGTTTAACGATTTGAATCGCACGTTGCGAGAGAGATAAAACTGGTTTCTCTCGAAATACAACGCGTGACGTTGATCAGATTTTCACGGTGTTTTGTACGCACATGTATTCATGAGATCGATACCTGTATCGTCACGCAGATCGGCCGAGTGCGACGACCGATTGGGATCGATTTTTTCATATGAAAGAAAAAAAAAAAAAAAAAAAAAACTTCGTCCATGCCTGTGAGCCTCTGTTATGTGCACCTCCTAGCGTGTGTACGTGTGTATATAAAAAAAAGGGCAAAACTAAATTGGCCCGATGAAAAACAGGCAAGTATTTACCCAGCGCGCGATTATTTTTACCCTCCTATCCGTCTCTCGCGCTACGTCGTCAGTATATTTATATACCATAGTTGCACTTGGGTTTACAAAAAACTCGCACTCTCTCTCTCTCTCTTTACTCGAGTAAGTAGGCATACGGAGTGCAGTAGGTAAGTGAGTACACAACAAGAGACTAGACACTGCAGTGGCGAGTGACGGCAAAAAACGATGAGCGCCTTAGAGAGCAAAAGTCGCCGAGAGACACGACGATGACAGGAGTATGGGTATATATGTATATACAGCGAGGAAAAACAGAGCCGAGTGGTGATTATTCGTCTCTACGGATCTTTTTCTCCGGGATTCCTCTCTCCTCCGAATGGTTTCGCCTTCGTTTTCTTTATTTTATTTTTTTTTTTTTTTTTTTTTTTTTTTCTTTCTACTTGTTGCTGTTGAGTGAACCAAAGAGTGGGTGACCAATAAAAATAATCCGCAGGCAAGCGAGATGGCGGCATGTGGAAGACGGGGCATCCGAATCCGCTCGAGCTGCTCACGACGATCACGAGGTGTTGTACCANTTTTTTTTCTTTATTCGAGAGGATCGAGAATCGCGTGCTCTGAGCAACAACTTGGTGTGGAACTATACGAGGCAAGGACGCGCAACAAGAGCTTCCAATTTGCGGGATTCGATTGGACGGAGCGTGTGTATTTTTTACACAGCTGTTGAGTTGCTTGAGCTTCACGCTTATATTGCATACACACAGTGTATGCCAATGAGTAGTTTTGTTAATACACGTGACGTGATTTTTTGATTTATTGGAGGATGATATACAACGCAATTCAGTGAGAAATAATCGCCAAATTAGATTTATACATAAATATACTTAGCGTTGCAATGAATGATCCATTGGCTCTATGAATCGAATACTTAATCAACTTTTGTTGTCAAAACCTGTAGAGATGATGCACTTTTATGCATCAAAAATTTGAAAGGAAACCAGCTGTTGTCCTTCAAAGCACTCATCAAACGAAAAATGATTGTTCATAAAAATAAAACGTATTGTCCCCCCTTCCATACCTCAAATTCATTTTAATATGCATCCGAGTACCGCAAAGTTGAAAAAAAAAAAATACACAGTAAAGGCACTTAATTAATGAACACCACTTGCACCATAAACGCAACAACGGGGGGCATCATGAGTGAAAATTAATACTCTCTCAAACGGCTAGGAAACAAAAAGGCCGACGTAGCACATGAAAAATCAGAACAAAATCCGCGTCAAGGTTTGCGCGAACATCGTCCCACGTCCTCTACTTGCGTAAGTATACATTTTTTTTTGTATAAAGTCGTACCTAATCGCGCTCCACACTCGCGGGGCGTCGCTTTTATTAACGGTATGTGTATATGTACGTACACATGTATATAACCGTAGGTATACAGCTGAGGCGTCACAGAAAGCGAGCGCGGGTGTACTTAATCATGTAAAATATGTGTACCATAAAAAAAAAGGCACATCTGAAGAACGGAACATTGGAGAGAAAGAGTGACAACGGTATCATTCCCAAAGGTGTACACGGGTGGCAACATCAGCGAAAATTACCCGCAGCGTATAGGTGTGTCATTTCGTCATTTCTTGGTACGCATACATATACATCCATATTTTCATATCTTATATATTTTTTACTCATTTCGGTAAAAAAAAAAAAAAAAAAAAAGTACCGTACACGCGTGTCCCACACTACATCCTAACGTGGAGTGTGCATATATTATTATGTTGACAGTGTCCTCCTCGTCTGCATCAAAGCTGAATAGTAACGTGCACATATTTTTCCTAGCTCCTTGATTACAATACATAATATACCTATACGATGCAGCTTTGAGGAGGAGCTCCACGGGCAGATCGGTATTTTGCCTTGTTAGTTATATAGTCTGGGAAAAGAAATATTATATCCCCTGGTCCCCAAGATGTTGTAACGGTGACAAGTGGACGTTTTTTTTTTTTCTTCGTGAATTTCTTGAATGAAAAAGCGCGACGCGGGTCACTTTTGCGATGTGACGTTGTATATTATTATCTGGATAGTTTACCTGTGATGCCCGAGAGCTCGTGAAAAGCAGGCCATCACATTTACGCACTCGGATGGCGGAAATAAAAGTTTAAGCGACAAAACGCGGCTAGTTGGCCCACATCCCCACGTACCGATCTACATAATATATTATACGTAAGTATAACAAGGATCATCCCCGTAACGCTCTATAGATATAATATTCGATTCAAGTGTTGCTTATAAGCTTGTACTATATACAAGAGTATACTGTAAAATAAGCGTTTTTCCAAAAAACAATTGGTGTTCCCGCCCACAACTCTACACACATAGTATATGTATATATATCGCGTAATGGGTAACTAGCAAGGGATATGAACAACAGCAGGTGAGCGATTTATCGTATATGTACAGTCGTAGTGAGATGTGGAACGAAGGATGCGCTGATGCTGATGATGTAACGGGGTTCTTTTGATTGTATACCTATTAGAGGACCTTTTGTCCAATATAGTGATTATGCACACACGCTATACGCGAGCAAGGAGACAATGGTTGTTGTGTGTAGTATATATAATATACACGCGAAATATGGACGCGCACTCGGTCTTTTTTTGGCGTGTCAAGTCATTGATTTCTTTCTTTTTTTTTTTTTTTAATCCTTCGTGACATGCACATTTTTGTGAATAAACACAGTCAATTATAATTAATGTACGAATCACACGTCGATACGTCGCTTTGAAGTATGAAAAATTTTGCCAAACAAAAGCACGAGGTAAACGAAGATGCGAGTATAAGTGTACGTAACTTTGAGTCAAAATCATAAATATTATGTGCACAAGACGCGAGAGCACACACGTATGTAGGTATAGGTAGAGAGAGAGAGAGAGAACAAAAGCCGACCCCCGTGCCTTGTGCACGCGTAATAGCTCCTCTATCGCGATGTACGTATATACAGAGGCATGGATATGCATATTACGCTACTTCTCGCGCGCCCCATTGAATTACCCGTATACAACAATTACGCTCGAGACGGTTCGCGAACGGGAAATTACATCCTGACGCGAAATGTGCACAAGAGCATCGGTACATACACGTATCCGCTCAAATCCACGAGCTCACATAATATATTATATTCAATTTTCGCTATGTCTGTGTGCCTGCCCTCTCTCTTGCGCAATAAATCGCTTTTTGGACGCTGTCATAACTTCTGGACGTACAGTAATAAACAATCTCTTCTTTCGCGGACTTTCACCCAGAAATTTCATAGCTGTTGCCTTCACACCGCATGATACTTTGATCATTTTGAGAGATCATTGTCGAGAAATGATTTAATTGTGTTTTGAACATACTATACAGCATCGCAACCCCGAAGCTTTATTAATTCATTACAGGTCTTCTTTTCTAACATTGATAATAATATTATCATCATATGCACTTGTAATGAATTATTATTATTATTATTGTGGCAATGGGTTCATTAAAAAAAAAAAAAACTTTATTACCCACACTCAACTTATTTTTTTTCTTGAGGCAACTTATCGTTTTTTTTTCCGCACAAGAGAAATTCTGCTTCGTCACAGACTATTAGCGGACACTTTACAGTTAAAATTTCGTTGAAGAATCGCTACACGGTGCGTTCATCGGCTCATGTTGTTACCAGCTGTTGAAAAAACTCTGTTGTTAATATAAAATGTGTTTAGTCAGCTCATGAAAATTCATCATCGTAATGGGTGCTCGGAAAAAGTTTATCAGTTACCATGAAGTCGATTGGATTGAGGAAAAAGGGAAAATTTTAAAATTCATACAAAAAAAAATCGTAATTCATTGTGCGCAAAGACTGATCGCAAAATTTATTGAAACATCAAAAGCTTGAAAAAAACACACTACACACGGGGTATTGTGATTAATCAATCATTAATAATTTTTGATCAAAGACGCGGGTGTGTGATTGGTAGAAAAAACACTCACCTATATAATATTACGTAGATATATAGTACAAATTCCTGTGGTCTTTTTACTTTTATTTATTTTTGTTTTTAACTGATCTGCATGTAAATATATGGCTCCCTCTCAGATGGTGGCGTGACAATTTGCGTCGAGGTGCCATTTTGTCTCAGAGTTGGGGTTCAGTGGAGTATATTGTCCTCTTTGACGAAACATTAAGGATTAAAAACCATCAGGTTGTGGTAAGAAAACGAGCCCAATCGAATGCAAGTTTTCAATCTCACGATTACCTCTGATGGATTAAAAAAAAAATATATATATATATATACGATCTCAGTGCTGGTGTGGGGTGAAAAAACGATAAAAAAAAGGCACTCCCTGTGTGTCGGTGCCTAAAAAACGAGAGCAACGAACCATCAGCGGAGGGCAGCCATTATTATTATATATACTTAAAAGGGTCCCCCCCCCCTCGGGAGGTTCTTTTCTTCACGCTGAATGCCTTCACCTGTGTGTACACGCCGACGACGTTCAAAGTTAATTGTAATGTGTCGGGAGCAACGCAGGCGTACCCACCTACACATGCATGTACACGCAGCCGTAGTAGCCACACGTGTGGTTAATATAGTAATATACGGGGTCGTCGACACGTAAAAGTTGGGGAGACCGAGAGCGAGCGGTGTATTTAAAATACCGAGTTATTAAGTACATGCCCGTAAAACACGTGAGATGGAAGCCTAATGAGCCAAGGTCCACTCTCCGGAGAGACAAGAGTCGAAGTATGAAAAGAAGCTCGCTTGCCCCGTACTTTGGACGGGACGTGTTTTATTTATTTTGAAATAAAAAAAAAAAAAACAAGAAAAGACTCGGCAACGAGTGCGGAGGGAGGATGGAACAGAGCAAAGAAAACAAAGCCAAGGGGGGAGGGAGCTATACAAGAAATCCTCGTGCTTATGGTTTAGAAGGAGAAAAAAAAAGGCGGAAACGAGAGCCCAAAGGGAGTTATGTTCCGCCGAGCGGCTTCCACAATACATCATCTCCTCTCGTGTTGCTATACGCATACCATTTTTCTGACGTTTCGTAGTGACGTTTGGGTTATATATACATGGCCTGGCCGTTCCGTGTATATAACGAATCGGGCCTTCGCTATTTATCTGTTTTCAAGTGGTGTTTCAAAGTGAGGAAAATCCATGCAAAACCAACAGTATACAACCCAGCGCTCGATCATCGTCCCTCTCCCCAATAAACGAAGCGTCGAATCGTTCCCTTGAACTCGTTTTAAAAGTAGATTACAGCGGCTCTATGGTCATTTATCCGAGCGCCAAGAAGAAGAAGAAGAAGAAGAAGAAGACCAGTTTTTGCTCCTCCTCGGCTCGCGGCGCAGTGTCCCTCTCACTTGGCGCTCGAGTTTTCCTACATGCTTTCGCGGAAAACGAGGACTCTTACATACATATATGTATATACATCCGTACCGATGAGGGGCTACTAATAGAACCGATCGAGTCGCTCTTTAGGGTACAAGCTATATTGTACCCCGGTATGCATAAAATACGCTACGATCCCCCAAAATGCCTCCACTCGAAAACCCGATCGCCTGGGCTTCCGGTGAATATATTATATACTTTGCAGCAAGTTCTTCTTCTATCTGCTGACCATCTCATCCTTTATCCCTCTCTCCTCCGTGTATACATGCTACTATATACTTTCATCTATGCATGCAGTATAGTGTACATATAGTATATCTACGGTGGCTAGGGAGAAGAAGCAAAGGAGGAGGAGGAAGAGGAGGTAAAAAAGAAAGATCCAAGAGAGAGAGGGAGAAGAGATACCAAGTCCGTAAGTAAAAAAAGCGAGGGAAGGAAGAGGCCCCGCGAGCCGGAGGAATGGCGGGGCCGGAGCATCGTTGGCTGTCAGTCGGTGCCGAGCCGCCTCGTTGGCTGGACGCGCTAATCGCGCTCTCTTTTTTTTCTCTCTCTATATCTCCGGCACTCGGTCGTCGTCCCCTAAAATTCTTTTTTTGTTTTTGTTTTTTATTTTTTCCTTTTTTCGTTCCTCTCCTAGCCCTTATTCGCCCACTGCGTGCGCTATACACAGCCGTGAAGAATCGTCGCGTGGGAAAATCTCGAGCCCTCCTCGATCGGTATACGCGCTGCCGAGAGTTGGGATGCTTCCTATATTTTGTTTTTGTTTTTTTGTCTTTTCCCTTGAGTGACCGGTTAAAAAGTGCCCTCTCTTTTTGATTTTTCAAAGACAACTTTGGGATGATGGGTACATACAACGGTACAACCAACAAGTGGCCGGCAACATGTGAATGCGAGTTTTAGTGAAGAGATCGTAAAACCAACAGCGAAAGAGATAAAGAGACTCGGAGGGGGTGGAATAATCCAGATGTCAAGTGGTGTTTCTTGATTATTTATCGATCCAACCCCATCAAAAAACAAAAAAAAAAAAAACAGTTTGATAAGTGATTGGAGGAATAAATACTTAATAAAAAAAAGGCCATGGCATCCATGTGCGGGAGCAGCAAGGGCCATCCGGCGTTGACCACCAGCAGCTTCTACAGACCGGGTGCCTACCCCTACCAGGTGAGCGATACGCGATCCAGTCCTCCCCCCCTTGCGCTATTTTCGTATACCACAATTTGTATGCGTCGACGCGGGTGGTCATTTGGATTTGAAAAAGAACCATTTACACATTGCTATGCTCCGTGCCGATTTTCATGCAGGACCGAGCCGAACAATAGGCATTCGTGCGATACAACAAAAGGCGCCTGTTAACCCGTGCACGGGGAAAGGGGGAGAGATTTTAATTTCAAAGAAGGGCGCACGGGCAAGTTCATGACCATGGCGAGCTTTGGAATTATCATTTTCGCGTGTATATATATATATAATATACTATAGTGNATATATATATATATATATATATATATATATATATATACGTATGGATAGGCTCCTTGGAAAGGGACACGGAGGAGTTTTCCATTTGGAGATTCGCGGGGTTTGATTGTGGGTACGTTTGGGGTGAATCTGATATTCAGGGGGTTTTCTGCGTGCGTGCCTATCGAGATTGAATTACGTGATTTTTTTTTTCTGCCGTACGTTTGTACGATGGTCGAGTGGGCTTGGTTTCAATGCTTGAGAAAAGGTAAAAGAAAATAGAGAAATGTCGAAGTAGTGGTATGGAAAAAAAAAAATCAGAGAAAACGTTCACGAGTTGCTCCGATCGGATGTTTGCATCGTGAAAAAAGGGAATCCTCATTTTTTTTCGATTAGAACAAACTCGATTTGCCACTAAAACAAAAGCCGATCTTCGGAGATCGGTAAGCGATTTCCTTTTAAATTCACTTGGGCACCTAATGGCCCAAACGCAATTTTCACTGCAACGATCGAACAATCACCTGTGGCTAATAACAATCGGTAGCCACAACAAATTGATCCAACGTTCTGTAAAGTGGAGAAAAAAAACACCGGAAGTTCTAAAACCGATTCAGGTACACTGAACTGCAAAGGAAAAAAAAAAAACAAAAAACAAAAAAAATTTCAAGACCAGCTCTTCGGGCGGTTCATTGACTGCGGCCTCGGGATAATACGTCGATATATTTCTCCCACTCCCCTCCGTGCATTCACACGTACACACACTTACACGCGCGCGTTCGCGCGCTTTTTACGTAATATTACAAGCGCTTTCGAGCGCAAAGCCACAAGGTCAAGGTTCCTCGGGTCTACTGCACACGCTAGAAAATCGGTAAGGACATTTTTTGTTTCAATCGCTCGTTTGCTTTTGTTTTTCGTTTATTTTTTTCACGATATCGTGGGGGGGGGGGAGGATCGGCGTGGCTTCGGGACAATAGCATCTCTATATATACATGTATACATTGCACAGATGTTCTCGGAAGGGAGCTGTTGGGTCTAGCTACTGGGGGTTCCATTGTGAACGTCTTTCTGCTGCCTCCGACCTGTTAAAAATTAACGTATACGTATACCCTTGTCATTGGAGTCGAGTGCATGAGAATGGACTGACGGAGATGGCGGATATTTAGTTTTACTGTCGTGCGAACGCAAGTACAATATAATATATGCATAATACCAATACCTATATAGAGCTGCGCGCGAATCAACAGATCGCACGTGACTATATTGAAAAAAAGTTCAGTTAGGTGTACCCTTGGACGAGGAATACCCCAACGGTCTCGCTATGTGTGCGCGTACGAGTATTAATGTGTACCTCAAGATGTGACGTATACATCATTTGAAAAAAGACGACCAACGACAGCTCGTTTGCATGCGATCTAATATCAATAATGCGCCACTTTGATAAATAATTCATACCACTATAATTGACTCCTTCCTTGCTCCCCCCCCCCTGACCCTGACACGATTAAAAACACGCGTGTACATAAATTTCCGGCTGCCCTTGCATTTGGTCCCATTGGGAGGGGGGTGGTAGAGCAAAGTTATCTAGTTCAAGTACGTGATCTCTCGTGTTACGTGGTGGCGTTCTTACGTAAGAATCGTCGCCAAATGAGAAAAAAAAAAGGCACTAAAAATCAATGATTGCGAGGATAATAAGTATAACTGAGCGTTCAGCCCGAGTAATTAATGTCCCATTTGTGTGAATAGGTATAATACCAATATAGAGTTGTGTTTGTATAGGTATAGAATCGATCGAGCACAACAGCAGCATATATTATATACCTGCTGTAATAACGTGTATATACGTGCATGGTAGGTATATATAGACTTATGTACCCCATCATCGGCCAATCATCGCAACAATCAATCAGTACACGTATATTCCCGTATGGGTAACGATATATAATACGATCGGCACATTAATTGCTAGCCTCCGTGTACGCGTACACTTTGTATCGGCGCAAATGAAAACATAATACACATATATATAGGCACACCGCATAAATTATATAGCGAAGGAAGCTCGCATGTGGATACACATCTATGATGAGAGGAACAACCTCTTTGTACGTGTCTGTGTCTATACGTCGTCGTCGGGGATGAGGTCGAAGGACACGCTATATGTACGATCAGCTGCGCGTGTACATCACGATCGGCCGATCGAAGTGTAAAACAATCATGTTTCGTCTTTTTTTTTTTTTTTTTCTTCTTTTCTTTTTATATTATATCTACCTGCACGCAAACGATATTACAAATGAGGGGCAAAGAGTCTCATCCCATATCCCCCGTCATGGATTTTTTTTTTCTTCTTCTTATTCATCTCTTCTTCCACTTGGTGTAATTACGCGTTGTTGGAGAGTTAGTTAAACGATCGCAATCTATACACGCACATAATGTTACATTAGTCGGTATAGTTTATATTATACGTATATACCCACTGCCGCAGGTAAGTGCATGCACTGTTTGCATTTATTTATCACACATCTCTGATACGGAGTTTTGTTGTTGTTGTTGTTATACCAATATTGTTAATTATGTATTACTTACTCACAAACACGCAACAAGTGTTTTTCGTATTATATATACTGAATTTGTAATATGATGTATCCAAGTCACGTTGTAATGTATGGTATTTATTACTACCGATCATGCGCGTGTGAGAATACCGATCTCATGGAGAACAATTTATATTTGCTTTCTTTGCACTTGTATGTATTGGCATGAAATAATAAAGTAGACGCAACAAGAATTTCAACAAGATAATTATATTTTATGCTTGATCAGTCAAATAAATGTAAGTCATGTACGACCGAAAACCGTTGCTTTTTCTCTCTCGGGCGCGTGTCAAGGTCTCGGTCGACGCCTGGAGGGGCCCAATAAAGAAAAACATAAAAACCTCAGAAAATGTCACGAATGCGCGCGTGGAGTAGGTACACATATAGCCATGCATATGGCATATAAACGTGCCGATAAGTGTGCCAAAGTGAGAGGACGACGCCCCCCTTCTCCCCCCCCCCTGGAGGAGTAACATAACAGTACCTCTTTCTCTCCCCCCGGAGCCGGCGTGAGAGCAAAGAAGCTGACCAATATATGATATATTATATATATGTAACAGTACAAGTGTATATACGTATATGACGCGAGGTCCAACTCTATTTGTGGGTATATACTTGCTTGTCGTAATATACAAAGGTCAATGGCTTACGTGTCACGTCGTACGTATACCTGCACAATGTACATAGGATCAGGGTATAATAAATTGCTACGATTTCTTTTTCTCGTTCATTTGTCGGAAAATGAATATTAAAAGATCATTCAAATCGTTTGTCGGCGTGAACGATACTTTGGCCAGCATTCCGGTGTGGCGTGAAACGAGATCGCATCTCAGAGACGCTTTTAATTAATACGAATACACGGCTGGTTTTATCGTGAAATTGGCGTCTTTATCCATACACAATACTAATAAACAAAAGAGTTGCGTGGTAATTCGTCGAAAAATTGAAACAAATAACATACCGATCGCAAAACATGTGAGACGCGGGGGAAAACCGATTTTCAAGCCTCGGCCCGTCCGCTTTGCCGATTCTGCAACAGTACAAGTTTAACGTTCCCTCTCCCCGCGTGTCCTCTACCATACACATATGTATATACGTATCGCGTATATATTATGTGCCGTCATTTTTTATGTACAAAGTTTGCGCTCCACGGTGGATTTCCAATTAGTCTCGCCGGATGCAACAATGTGTATAATAAAATCGAAAAGAAAACCACGTATACCACTTGGATTTCGACGTTTCGAGCTCGAGTGCCTTAATCGCCGCGAGGTTTACCAGAGCCCAGTGTAATTTCCTCTCCGTAACGGTATAATGCTACGTACACATATATATGAGCGCCGCGTGGCGCCGTTAAAGCCCCGGAACGCAAACTCGCCCGAAACCCCCAAAAATCTCGCGCTTAGAGGTACAGAACGAATTTTCTTTTTTTTTTAATTTCTTTTCCTAACTCGAGTGGAAAAACGTCACGATGGAGCGACGAAGACAACATTGTCGTGTGCGTAATGTCCGAGACAGCCTCTGAGGGCGGGGGGGAGGGGGGACCGAAAAACCCGACGATCGGGCCGATCGACCTGTCGAGCGTAAAGTTATAACCGACAGCCCTTCCTCTCCTCCTCGAGACACCACCGACTCATCCTCACCCGGAAACGAAGCGCGAGCCATCACCCTCCCACACAATTAAGCCTCGGACTACCCGCGGAGATCGACAATAGCCGCGTGTAATAGGTACACACGTATACAGCGCAGGTTCAGCACAACACCAGTTCGCACTTCTTCTCGCGAACAATCGCTTGTGTGCTCGTATATATAATATATATATATCTGCCCTTCGGATCTAGAATCTTCAGTTTAACGTATATATACTGAGACACACACGCACACATACCCATGCATGGTGTATTGTTGTTGGGCACCTCGCACCTGTTGTTGTAAAAAGGAAACAACGAGGAAGTGTATATATACAAATGCACGTGAACTGCAACGATGCCATCTTGTACAGTTCTTTATTTCCTTGACGTGGAAAAAAGAGGGATGTTGAAATTGAGCGATCGCGGCCATACGTCCGCATATATAAGTACGCACGTGCAATTGCTCGTTCATCGAACAACAAATACA